TGTACACACGTGCCATACACATCGTAATATGTTCTCTTTTTAGTACATGTTTCTTTCTTTTTCTTCCCTCTCTGCTGTCTAGAATGTCTAGTAAATTTATTTATATGTGATTCTCTTTTGTATTGCGTGAAGGAGGACTGGTTACCATCTAAATATCTAACATTGATCTATTCTTGCCTCAAAGTCCAGTTAATTAATTGCATAAATTTCTTCTATAATATGCAGGCCTTCAGCTCGAGAATTGGCATAGATGTTTCAAGGGTTTCTGAACGACTGGGAGCATTGGTATGATAGTAAATGGATTTATGCAAAATATATAAATAACTATATAAAATGATTATCCCATGGATGGTACATAGAAGTCTAGCTATTAATCGACCAAGTAGGGGATGGAAACACCTTAACTAGCCAGTAATTCATGTCTAAGCTCGGGCTCGTGTGCACTCGATGAACAATAAATTCAAAAAAATAGTAAAAAAATCAAATAATTCTGGAAGTTTATGACATGGAAGATGCTCATGTGCAGAATAAGCATGCACATTTTTGAGGTGTTTGGACATTCGAGGACCTCTAGATAAAAAGTCCAAATAGTGTTCTTTTTCAAAGTTTCTTTCAGAGCCATTTTTTGTTTTTTAGACACAGCCTCCTATAATGTCCAAACACAATGATTTTTTGCATGCACATCGCGCATTCGAGCATATCTCGGATGCCAAGTTTTATTAGATTTTTTGAATGTTGTTGTAATTATATTTGAATTTGATGTTCACACCTAGGTGCAATTAATGCACCTGGGCACCGAATCATGACACTCTTAATTAATTCTGCACCTGGGCACCGAATGGCCGCATTTTTAATTAGCTAGTTACAGTCTTATCCATGTTAACTTCACAACATGATCGATGTATGACAAAGATGTTGATTGGTCTTCGATCAATAGTCACCTAGCATAAATTTATATTAACATGTTTTGGGTTGTCATAGTTTGTTGTATGTTGTTAATTGAGATAAAGTTTAAAAGTGTTCTATATTATCCCACCCTCATAGATTTAGTGTTGTATAAACCGAACATTCTCTTGAAAATGCTTGTCTTGTTTGGTCATCTAAATGTGCAGAGCCGACTCTTTTCGCACGAAAAGCAGGCACCATCGTGCATGCGCAGCATTGAGGTCCCCAAGTACACTGATGGGACCAACCTAACTCCTCCCAAGGAGCTCATCAGCAACAACGATATAGGTGGAACTAATAAGGTACCCAACCCCGAGTGTGAGTATTGGGCTGAGCAAGATCAATTGATGTGGAGTTCCCTTCTTGTGTCAATATCAACAGAGTTAATCGAGTAGGTGTGGGTTGTGTCAACCATGGTTGAGCCTTGGTCTACCTTTGGGTGCATGTTCTCCGCTCATCCATGTAACTAGAAAATATGAGGAAGAATGTCTCTTGGTAAATGACTACTTCAACAAAGTAAAGGAACTCGTCAAACTATGGCCATGCTAGTATCTCCTCTCGCCAAAGATGACATGGCCTCCTATGTGTTCTGTTACAATCCCTCGTTGTCATTGATCACAACTCAAACAGACCCAGTATCCCTTGGTGAGTTGTATTATCATGTACTTTCTTTTCAAATCATGTTGGAGCAGCCATACCTCTGCTTCCAAGGCAACATTACTCCACCTGGGCGTGGTGGCGGGGAAACATGTCATAAATCATGAAATCCCAATAGGGAGTATCTAAGAGATGCACTTTCACAATGTTGCAAGCTCCAAATTGATCTAAGCATTATATATTTGTTAAGGTGAGTTCTTAAGATATAGAATTGTAAACATGTTGTACATTAGCTCATCCTCCTAGATTTCCGCTACCCTCTCCTCCCTCCCACAGTTACCGCCTCCTCCCTTCTCTATAGACACCACCTCTTACTTCCCCATCCTCCTTTCCCCTCGCTACTGCTAGAGACTAGTGGTAGAGCTAAGTCCCGACACGGGTTGATGAAGGCAGCAGTGGGTATATCTCTGCTCCGATAGCCTTTTATGGAGATATGCGATTTACGGGTGATAAATAGAGGCAAAGGGTGTGGTTGTGTAGCGATGGTGGTGGTGTTTCCGATTGGACTAGCGGTCTCTCGAGATGAGTCATTGGTGGATGCGGCCCCATCTGCAGGTACGCGGGCAACAAAAAGAACCTTCTACATTCCAACACTAGTCCTCCGCTTGTTTCACGGATGGCGGCATGCTCTTGTGTTGCTAGGCAATTGCCATAACGGGTCGCACGGTCTTAAACCTTCATATCGGCTGATACGTCTCTAACGTATCTATAATTTTTGATTGTTCCATGCTATTATATTATCCATCTTGGATGTCTTATATGCATTTATATGCTATTTTATATTATTTTTGGGACTAACCTATTAACCTAGAACCCAGTGCCAGTTTCTACTTTTTCCTTGTTTTTTAGTTTTACAGAAAAGGAATACCAAACGGATTCCAATTGACCTGCCAATTTACGGAGATTCTTTATGGACCAGAAGAGGCCCCCGAAGCAAAAGAGTTGGGCCAGAAGAGTCCCGAGTCATCCACGAGGGTGGAGGGCGCGCCCTCCTACCTCGTAGCTGACTCGGAGACCCCCCTGACGTGAAACCGACACTAAAAGTTCCTATAATTACAGAAACCCTCGAAAATAAACATAGATCAGGAGTTTCGCCACCACAAGCCTCTATAGCCACCAAAAACCAATCGGGACCCTGTTTCGGGACCTTACCGGAGGGGGGATCCATCACTGGTGTCCATCTTCATCATCCTGACGCTCTCCATGGCGATGAGGGAGTAGTTCACCCTCGGGGTTGAGGGTATGTACCGGTAGCTATGTGTTTGATCTCTCTCTCTCTCTCTCTTGTGTTCTTGATTTGGCACGATCTTGATGTATCGCGAGCTTTGCTATTATAGTTGGACCATATGGTGTTTTCCCCTCTCTACCTTCTTGTAATGGAATGAGTTTTCCCTTTGAAGTTATTTTATCGGATTGAGTCTTTAAGGATTTGAGAACACTTGATGTATGTCGTGCATGTGCTTATCTGTGGTAACAATGGGATATTCACGTGCCCCACTTGATGTATGTTTTGGTGATCAACTTGCCGGTTCTGTAACCTTGTGAACTTATGCATAGGGGTTGGCACACATTTTTGTCTTGACTCTCCGATAGAAACTTTGGGGCACGTTTTGAAGTTCTTTGTGTTGGTTTTAATAGATGAATCTGAGATTGTGTGATGCATATCGCATAATCAAACCCACAGATACTTGTGGTGACATTGGAGTATCTGAAGGAAATATGACCTAGAGGCAATAATAAAGTTATTATTTATTCCCTTATTTCATGATAAATGTTTATTATTCATGCTAGAATTGTATTAACCGGAAACTTAGTACATGTGTGAATACATAGACAAAACATAGTGTCCGTAGTATGCCTCTACTTGACTAGCTCATTAATCAAAGATGGTTATGTTTCCTAACCATAAACATGTGTTGTCATTTGATGAACGGGATCACATCATTAGGAGAATGATGTGATGGACATGACCCATCCGTTAGCTTAGCATCATGATCGTTACAGTTTCATTGCTACTGCTCTCTTCGTGACTTATACATGTTCCTCAGACTATGAGATTATGCAACTACCGAATACCGGAGGAACACTTTGTGTGCTACCAAACGTCACATTGGAGATTGTAAAGGTGCTCTATGGGTGTCTCCAAAGGTGTTGGTTGGGTTGGCATATATCGAGATTAGGATTTGTCACTCCGTGTTTCGGAGAGGTATCTCTAGGCCCTCTCGGTAATACTCGTCACTATAAGCCTTGCAAGCATTGTGACTAATAAGTTAGTTGCGGGATGAAGTATTATGTAACGAGTAAAGAGACTTGCCGGTAACGAGATTGAACTAGGTATGATGATACCGACGATCAAATCTCGGGCAAGTGACATACCGATGACAAAGGGAACAACGTATGTTGTTATGCAGTTTGACCGATAAAGATCTTCGTAGAATATGTAGGAGCCAATATGAGCATCTAGGTTCCGCTATTGGTTATTGGCCGGAGATGTGTCTCGGTCATGTCTACATAGTTCTCGAACACATAGGGTTCGCACGCTTAATGTTCGATGACGATTTGTATTATGAGTTATGTGTTTTGATGACCGAAGTTTGTTCCGAGTCCCGGATGAGATCACGGACGTGACGAGGGGTCTCTAAATGGTCGAGACGTAAAGATCGATATATTGGAAGGCTATATTCGAACATCGGAAAGGTTCCGAGTGATTCGGGTATTTTCCGGAGTACTGGAGAGTTACGGGAATTCACCGGGGGAAGTAGTGGGCCTTAATGGGCCATACGGGAAAGAAGAGAAGGGCCTCAAGGGGTGGTCGCGCGCCCCTCCATGGGCAGGTCCAAATTGGACTAGGAAGGGGCGGCGCCCCCTCCTTCTTCTCCCCTCTTCCTCCTTCCCTTCCTTCACCTAGTTGGAATAGGAAGGGGGGGGGGGTGAATCCTACTTGGACCGAGAGTCCAAGTAGGACTCCCCCCTTTGGCGCGCCCCCTCTAGGGCCGGCCTCCTCTTCCTTCCTCCTTTATATACGTGGGCAGGGGGCACCCCAAAGGCACTCCAAGATTGGTGTTAGCCGTGTGCGGTGCCCCCCTCCACAGTTACACACCTCGGTCATATCGTCGTAGTGCTTAGACGAAGCCCTGCACCGGTAACTTCATCATCACCGTCGCCACGCCGTCATGCTGACGAAACTCTCCCTCGACCTCAACTGGATCAAGACTACGAGGGACGTCATCGAGCTGAACGTGTGCTGAACGCGGAGGTGCCGTATATTCGGTACTTGGATCGGTTGTATAGCGAAGACGTTCGACTACATCAACCGCGTTAACTAAACACTTCCACTTTCGGTCTACGAGGGTACGTGGACACACTCTCCCCCTCGTTGCTATGCATCACCTAGATAGATCTTGCGTGATCGTAGGATTTTTTTTTGAAATTACTGCGTTCGTCAACAGTATCTATGTGACATAAGGGTTTTGGTTGATTTGTGTCTTAAGGTGTTATTTTACTACGAAATCTAGGGTTATTTGTGACACTTATAGGAATAGCCAAATGGATTGATCGGAAAGAATAACTCTGAGGTGGTTTCGTACCCTACAATAATCTCTTGGTTTGTTCTCCGGTATTAGTGACTTTGGAGTGACTCTTTGTTGCATGATGAGGGATTGTTATATGATCTAATTATGTTATCATTGTTGAGACAACTTGCACTAGTGAAAGTATGAACCCTAGGCCTTGTTTCCTAGCATTGCAATACCGTTTTCACTCACTTTTACCACTTGTTACCTTGCTGTTTTTATAATTTCAGATTAAAAAAACCTATATCTACTACCCATATTGCACTTGTATCACCATCTCTTCGCCGAACTAGTGCACCTATACAATTTACCATTGTATTGGGTATGTTGGGCACACAAGAGACACTTTGTTATTTGGTTGAAGGGTTGTTTGAGAGAGACCATCTTCATCCTACGCCTCCCACGGATTGATAAACCTTAGGTCATCCACTTGAGGGAAATTTGCTACTGTCCTACAAACCTCTACAGTTGGAGGCCCAACAACGTCTACAAGAAGAAGGTTGCGTAGTAGACATCAAGCTCTTTTCTGGCGCCGTTGCTAGGGAGGTTAGTGCTTGAAGGTATATCTTTAGATCTTGCAATCGAATCTTTTAGTTTCTTGTTTTATCACTAGTTTAGTTTATAAAAGAAAACTACAAAAATGGAATTGAGGTTGCCTGATATGCTTCATCTTTTTAATATCTTTTGTGAAAATGATCGAAAGGAAAATTGTGCCCAAGTGTTAGAAGAAGAATGCATTAAAATGTTTGGCACTAAATATTTGAATGATGAGCATGATTGCAATGTTGTTAGTATGAATTCCTTGAATATCCATGATGCTAATGATATGCAAAGCTACAAGCTTGGGGATTCTATGTTTGATGAAGATGGTATTTTTTTGTCCCCGAAGTTTTGATGAGAATATTTATTATGATGAAAGCATGCCTCCTATTTATGATGATTATATTGATGAAAGTGGGTTTGGAAGAGTGTCATCTTTAGTAAGTAATGATCCCACTATTTTTGAGGGTGTTGAATCTTATTGTGATAATTATGAAAGTGGATTTGGAGAGGTCATGACTTTATTTAGTGATCAATCCACTATTTCAGAAGAGGTTCCAATTGATTATGGGAACAAGTTACTATCTATGATGATTATTGTGATGACATGTATGCTATAAAGAATA